CACACACACACACACACACACACACACACACACACACACACACACACACATTGCACAACATGAGGAAAAATGGAAAAAGGCAGTAGAAGGGTAGGGGAGAGGTAAACTGGAGAATACTCCTTTCTCTGAAAATTGGCGTTACCTTGGCCAAGTACACACTTAACCTCTTTGAATTTCAGTTTCCCAATCTGTAAAATGAATATAGTGATCTTGACTCTACTTCCGGAGTCATTCTGTGGGTCCCCAAAGAGAACAGATCTGGACATGCCTCATGGAGGGGGGCTAACCAAAAGCAAAGGGTCATCATTACCATTCCTGTTTTTGTTGATCAGAAAGCCCTATGCACTAAAGAGCCAACTCTAATTCCAGTCACGTCCCAGGAATGTGCCCTCTGTCCCAGTGGAGGTAGTGTGGGGGTAAGGGTCACCTTGTGTCCCATGTGATTAGTTCACAGAAAGGCGCAAGGAGAGCCTGCCTCCCCCTGGAAAATAGCGCCCTGGGTGACCAATGAGAAGGATCCTTCCATTGATCCATTCACATTTCTGCCCAACCAGGTCTGGCAGGCACTGTCTGTCGGAGCCACACCTGTTGCGGGGATGCCAGCTACCCCTCCCTCAACACATCGCCACCCCCACAAATTGTCAAAAAGGCATCATGATATATAGAACTCCTGCATGCCACAAGGTAAGTGTTTAAATCTTTTATAAGATAGTCAATGGCCTTTGTAAAGCCTCAGACAAGAATTACGCTGTGTCTGAGATGGGGCTGAAAGTCAATGGGAAATTGATTCTGTCTAGCTGGTGCTGTTTCAAGGAGGAGGCTTGCTGGGTGCCTTCAGGACCAAACGTGCCATCGCCCATATGCACCTAGGGCCTGGTGTGTCACATGCTGAGACTACCAAGATAGGAGGCCCATTTCTGGGCAGAAGTCCCAGGCAGCTGCAAGCTCCCAGCACAGGAAGACCCTGGAGGGCATCGACCAGCACCACAGTGGTCATGAAGCATGTTTACCTTCCCAGAAACTGATGCCAATACCAATCTGATGCCATTGCCTGCACCTAGGCGGGGAAGGCAGAAGACAATAAAGGGCCGTTGATCTGGTGGCAACCATCGGAGGCAGGCACACCTACAATTACTCTCTTTTGCTAAATGATTCCATTAGCCATTGGATCAAACACAATTAAAGGATAGGAGGATGCTGTGGTTATTTCTCTGCCAATACCCATTGGCCTAATCCACACTGTCTACCAAGAGGTGGCAAAGCAGGCAGTAAAGACCCCGTTTCAGATTAGTGGAGCCCAAGGCCATTCTCCCTACAGCATGAGCCTGGACATACCAAGGATGACTTGGGGTCAGAGGCGAGCGGATGGGCCTTGGCAGGTATATCACACAGCCTCCCATCCTAGAGGCAGCGGGTGCAGTGAAAAGAGTACCTTCTTTGGAATCAGGCCATCCTGGAGTTTGAAACCTGGATCTGCAATTTCCTCACCTAGTGACCTCACAGAAGTGCCTTACCTGCCCGGGGCCAGTCTCATCATGTGTAACCTGGGGGTGATTATAATTCTGTGTCACAGGGCTGCTGTGAGGATAAAATGTGACAGCACACGCTGTGTGCAGGGCACAGAGCAGCCACCCAATGGCTCTCAGTTCCGCTCACTGTCCAGCGCTGAGCCCAGAACTGAAAAAGCAGGAAGCGCTCTCTCTTGGAAGCAGTTAGGCCAGAATCAAGCAATGAAATGGTGACTTGTGCCAGATACTGAGTCAGTGTTTGTTGTACATGATCCCAGTCCTCCTTCCTTATACCCATTTTACTGGAAAGGACACCGGAGCCTGAGGAGTTCTAAGCTGTCAATTTATCCAACAGGAGCAAACACTGAGGATGTATTTACTGCAGGCTTACTCTACACCGGGCCCCCTCTGAGGGACCCCAGCTACTAGGCTGAGCAAGACAGATGCTGCTCCAAGGTCAAGTTTGGGGCAAAGCCCAGACCAGAATCAATATCTCCTGCCGTCAAATGCTGTATCCTCCTCTGACCCCTGCCCCTTCCCCAGTAGGACGGACTCCTCAGAGAATCAGTGCATGCCCAAGCTCAAAGTGTCCTTCCAGCTTCTCCAGGCTCTCCAGTTAGTTTTACAGAGGAGGTCGTGTTTCCACACGGTGAGTGGGAAAAGGAGCTGTGACCTTGAAGCGAGGCTGGGAGAATTTCAGGTCAGGGCCTGCTTGTTTTCTGGAATACAGCCTGTTATCCCCGCCAGGCCAGGTCCGTAGGAAGCCAGCAGCAGCCCGGTGTGCACTGGACTGCGGGGGTATGTAGGTGAAGGTCTTCATGCACTTGAGCTATGCAGAAATACTTGTATATCCCACAAGGAAAATCACCCCATCAGGCTCAGATAACAGGGTGACGTGCAACAGCACCCCAGCATCCCTGCGCCTCTCTTTTCAGGTAAGCAATGCCATTGGTACTATATGGCCAGGTGTCTTTGAATTGAAGAGAGCTTTATTGGAAAACCCTTCAGGGTGCCAGAGAAACAGTCTTTTTCCACATCAGCAGGCTACCCAACACAGGCTCGGCTGCTACAGAGATTCAGGAGCAGGGAGCAGTGTGGTGGTGGGATTATTAAGGATGAGGTCAGGCAGGAAAGGACAGCAAAGAAGAGCCTCCCTGTTGTCAGACAGAGTCACAAATAAACACTTTCCAGCAGCTGGAAATTCAGCTCTTAAACTGTGCAAAATGAGAAAAACCTGGTGTGGTCAGAAAGGGTCCGTTGTCTGATGGAGTGGGACAGCACAAGTTCAAGCAGAGAGTCACTGGGTCGTTTACATGAGTATATAGTGCCAGGGCTTGGAGCTCGGCCTCAGTCTTTCCTCCCTGTAAAATAGGCACAGAAAAAGATCTAAGTGCTTAGAGGTGATGTTTCCTTGCTGCCATAAAATGGAAAAGCCGGCATAGATACTTCTACTCATCTATCAGACAAGGATTGAGTACCAACTATACACATATCAGCACCATGCCAGGCACCAGGGACTCAGCTATGAATGGGACAGGCTTGCCCCTTGCCTTCATGGAACTGAAAATTCAGCATGGAAAACAAACACAGTAGAATGCAGTTATAAGAGGGAGAGTGGTGTTAGCCTGGTGTGCCCGTGAGGCCAAGGGAGGAGGTGGGAGGAGCTTGGAGATGGCAGTGGAGGGTCTGAGTGGCTGGAGGAGTAACCGACANGCACAGAGCTGTCTCAGCCAACAGGATGACATGCCGACAGGGTGTTATGAGTAGCAATTGAGAGTGAAAAAGACCACCTACCTTCACATCCCAGCCTCGGAGGCTGACGAGTTGTGGCTCCTTGATCAAGCTGTCTCCTCCCTCTCTGCCTCAGGTTCTCATCTAGAAAACAAGGGTTATTATGAGATTTAGTGACAAAATCTAGCTAAAGCATTTCGTGTTGTGCTTAGTGTAAAGTCAGTGACCATTTGCACCACGGCCTCAGCAGCCACACCGTGGATCTTAGGTTCACTCAGAAGATTTCTGGCTCTAAAATTTTAACTCTAACTTCTGACAAGAGCCTGTTTCTTCTCAGCTCCCTGAATCATCTGGCATCTTTTATGTGGCCTTATCATGATGTCCAGTCACTTGAGTTGTTCTCCAAGCACGTCACCTCCCTGCTTAGTCCTCCCTTCTTCCTACTGCTATCATCTGTCATTCCCATCATTCTCTGGGTCTTCTCTCTGTGTCTCCTCTGCCACACTTCCCAGAAGAACCCAGCCATGGGCCACGCCAACCACGTGCCCCGTTATCACCCCACTGAGCCCCTCCTCATGCTGGAGGTAATGGCCCAGCCATGCTCGCCCCCCGGACCCCCTCCTGGCAGTGGCATCAACACGCCTCAGTCCCCAGGCAGCTCCCCTGCACTGCTCCACCGTCCTCAGCCTGCAGGCCCTCTTCGCCCCCGCCCCCATCTCACAACAAAGCACCTTGCTTCCTACTTCAAAGTGACAAGAGAGGGATTAGGTATAAACTCCCTCAATGTTTTTTCTCATTGCCCACAAATTCAGAAGCCTCCGCATCTCCCTACGTCCTTCTCCTCAGAGGAAAGATGTGTCTGCCTCCACCTTCCTCTGTACCAGGCATCACGCAGGAGGCCAGCCCATCAGTTACCCCTTCTGTATTCTGGACTGCCAGGCATCTGCTCACCGAAGACACCCCTCCCTCCAGCATACAAATACTCTCAGACTTCCCTTACCTTAAAAAGAAAAGAAAAATCTCCCCCGGCCCTCTATCTATCTCACATAGACAGGCTTTTCAAAGAGCTGTCTACACTCCCTGTCTCTGCTCCTTCACCTTCCATGGGCTCTGCAGTCTGGCTTCCCAGGCAATGACTCTAAGAAGGTCAATAACAAACGTGGAGTTGTACTTGACTCTCTTCTCCTCCTCACTTCTCCCATCGAAGGATTCAAGGCTCCATCAGTTCTGATTCTACCTGCGTAATAGCTTTTAAATCCTTCCCACCTCTCCTCCCTGCTCCCAGTGATGGGTGCCATTCTTCCAGACTCAGCCACAGACATCTAATTCATGCCCTCCTCCAATCTGGGCCCTGCTCCGTGCCAACGAGGGAAACTAGGAATGTTACTCTCCCTGCTCATCATTCTGAAAGGGTTCCTACTGCATTATGGGGCGAAATCTGCTCTCCTGTGCATGTTGTACAAGGGACCCCCTTTATGATACGGTGGCACTGAACATGGCCACCGTAAGGGCTAACTGAAGTATGGGGACTGAGAGTCTAACCAGACGTGAGCTCCCCTCAGTCAGGGCACGTACCTATTTCCTTCTGTTGTAACATGCTTTTAGTAGGACTGTAAAGATTTTCAAAACTGTCCGAGGCAACTCATTGAATGTAGCCCAAATTGGAATAATTTTATAGCATAATGGAAATAACCTCTTTCAGGAACAAATTTTATGTGGTTATTTCTTGAGATAACCTGTGATAATATTTGATATAATATATTCTGTGAGAGCTACTTCCACATGACCCGGGTGCCGTCTCACGTGACATTTGCAAGTCCAGGACCAAAGGGTCCTTCTTCCTGCCACCGCATGCCCAACTGTCTGTGCAAACCCTGAACCCTCAGATTCTGGCATATGTGGGCCCGTCACTGCAATGCTTCTTTCCAGATGAGGCCCCGAAATTCCAAAAAGAGAAGAGGTTGTCTATAGGTCCCACGTCCAGTGTCTGTAGCAAAGCTGGGAAAGAAACCTGGTCTCCTGCCACTGTGAGGTTGGGTGTCTGCCCACAGGAGCCCAGGGTCCACACAGTCCAATATGAGAAGCCCCTCAGCAGCTGGGCCACATGTGTGTTAGCACAGAGGCTGTGAAAAATACGAAGGCCTCTGGGCCACAAACAACCACACAGACGGGGAGGCGGGAAAGGAAGAGGAGGTGATGGAGGAGCCTCTCATAGGAGGAGAAGGGATGGGATGTGCCCAGGGTGCACAGCAGCCACAGGGAGCCCCGGATGAAGGAGGAGGCAGGGCATCCTGGCCTCCAGGAGACTGAGCACTCTGTCCCCTGCTGACTTGAGGAGCACTGAGTGTCCTCTCTAGGAAAGCATTTTCACCAAGCATTTGGTCTCGCCCTAGAATGCCAAGCAGAAGGCAGTCAGATAACCACTCGGCTTGATTTGTTTTTTCTCCCCACCGGCTTTCTACTCAGCGAGGTAACTACTCCGCACACCTCCAGGCCTCTGGGGGCCCAGCCAGCTCCATGATAAATGGCCCCCACCCTCCTACCAAATGCACCGTGCCACTGGTTCAGTCCTGCCTCAAGAATGATTGTGCACACACTGGGGCCAAGCTAAATGCACCATCCCCCCTGACCACATCCATCCCAGACCAGCAAAGCTGGATGGAGGGGGACTAGAGCTTTGCTGATAGGAGCCAAAGGAGGGCACTCTGAAATGAACTCTTTAAAATTCTTCTTATTCCCATCAAAATGTCCACATCTCGCAGCTGGGTTGATTGGACTCTCAGCCACCCATGGCTACAGTGACCCCTGCCATAAGCATGAATACGGTGCCAAAAACGGCCTCTCTCCTGGCCACTGCTATGCAACCAGCACACCTGTTCAGCTGTCAGTACAAAGCAGAGGGGATCTGAGGGAGGAGAAATTGACAGGTTCGGATGTAACCATACGCCAGACACTACACTGGACCTTTAACAATATTTCCGCATTGATTTCTCTCGAACACTGTGCCAAGATGATACAAAAGCCACACTGCACAGAAAAAGAAACAGGATCCAGGAGTGTAATGAATTCCCCCACCGTCACAGAGGGCCCCTATCATTTACAGGTTAAACACAGCTCATTTGTGACATCCAAAGTATGTTATGATGTGGCCCCTGCCTACCTGGATAGCACACAACTAGGATTAAACCCAAGTCAGCCTTTCTCCAAAACCTGCGTTCCAGTATTTGTTGAAGGATCCAATAAATAGTTGCCAGATAAACAAGTGAATACAGATATTCCTGACACACCATGCTAGCCTCTTAATGA